TATGCTGTTCACACACAGTTAAATTTTCGCTCCCAACAGCGCAATGAAGCATTTTAGACACTAATGTAATCAAGCTATGGTTCTATAAATATTGAAGTTTATAGCTTCAAAAGTGACTAAAGCTAATGGCATGCGTTTTATTTTGCGAAGTTTTGAAGACGAAATACAATTGCGAAACACCACCGATTTCGTTTTCTTATGCCCAGAAGTCTTGTCTATTTGTCTTTTTCTCTTTTCGCTCTTTATATATCATTCTTTTTATATTTCTGTGCCATCAATGCCTCTCCGTTCATATATAATTTTAAGCTCCTTTTTTTTCGCACTACTTTTTCTCGTTGCCTATGACCTCACCGCTTAACAACTCTTTGTTCTTTTCTATCATTTTTCTCTTTTTCTTTCTTCTCTAGCTATGAACTCATCACTTAACTGTTTGTTCTTCTCCGCCGTCTTTCTCTTGCACTATATTTTTTCTCTCCCTGCATTCTGTACGTATGAAGCCACCATTTAGACTTCTTCAGCGTTTTTCTCTTTCATTTTTTTTTTTCTGCGGCCTTCTCTTTGCCCTTTTACAAGCTTTCCCTTGGCCTTTCTTTATTTCGATATTTTTCTTTCTGTGCTCTTGTTGGCTTTTTTTGCGAGTCTCTTTTTTTCTATCTTTCTAATTTGTGCCTTCGATGGGTCTGTACATTTCTCTGCCTTCATTTTGACACTCTTCGTAACAAATGGTTTCCCTGGCTTTCCTCGACTTTTTCCCTAAATACGAACTCTTTCTCCTCTTCAGCCTGCACTTGATTATAGCTCAAAAAGCTACACAATATCACCTAATAGTTCAGTATTAATAAGTTTTAGAAAACTCGAAATAGTCGCACTGTTAGATTAATAGCACGTAATACAAGTTTTTATCATAAAAGTTAAGTAATAAATATTTTAGCATGAAAATGAGAATATATTTGGAATATATTTGCAAAAAAAAAAAAGAAGGCATATATATATAAATATATATATATATACATATATACATATGTCGATGAAGATGGCAATGATAATCAATCTTCAAAGAATACTTTTACAGGAAATAATTAAAGGATTAAAATACTTCACTACTTTAAATTGTATTCTAAGGCATTATGACACGACGACGAGTTTTCATTATAATAACTTAATCAGATCTTAGAAACAATTTGAATAGATTTTCTTAAGCTAAGAACATTAAATGAGATAAAATTACATTGATAATCATCTTATAATAGAAATTAATTTTTTTTAATTCATTTTGAAATATCTAACTGTACATATCTAGCCAAGTTTGAAAAAAAAAAAAAAAAAAAAAAATTTTTCAATTTTTCGTTAGCAAATTATTGAATGCAATCAAATTGTATAAAACTACATTTATTATGAGTTTATTTAAAAAAGTTTATTTTAGTTTTAAAACAACCATACGCGAGTTAACATTTCTCATAAGCTTTTTATTAAGCATATGTTGCTGAATTTTTATAACTAAAATAAAACAGAAAAAAAAAACAAAAACATAACTCGGTTTAATAATAGAAATAAGTCGTAAAATTATTTCCGAATAGCATGCATGTATGGTGGCAATGCCAGTAAACTAAAGAATTTCAAGTGCAACGTATAGTCAGTCAATGAGCGTAAATAAAAATATTTAAGTAAATGTAAGCCACTACTAGAATAAATAGAAAAACTTTTGTATATTAAGAGGAAGTGAAAAAAAAATTTATTTCAATTTATTATTTATGCAAAAGTATTGTATGAAAAAAAGGAAGTGAGAAGAAGGTCATGGTTTCGATATATTTTATCTCAGGCGTACATTGATGAAAAATTTTTCGTTTTTTTTTTCTTTTACCGTCTGGGAAGACGAATAACTAAGAAACTACCCTATCAAGCCAGTGTTCGCGTGGTCGAATTAAATCTCAACTGCGGTAGGGTTTACTTTAGTCCTACTCAGTCCTAGTCGGAGCTGAGGACGTAACAACAACCTCCCTAACTCTTTCCCTTTCCTCACTTCTGACCGTGTTTACTGAGCAATGGATAGGGCGAGTGATTAGTCATTTGAAAAAAAAACAAAGAAAAAAGATCGTCGAGGCTGTCAGTCACGACCTAAGTAAGACCTTGGCTATGTTAAAACTGAGGTTAACAACTTGCTTGACATACATCAATTGGGTGAAATTCCAAGTAATCTTAAGCAAACATATGTATCTTAATATCAATATACATTTGTGAAGAATTGTGCATTAACTTGTTAGTTATTAAAAATTTTGTGGACTTTTTCCGACCATTGATTCGTTGTTCAAGGCGGTTTGTAATTCGGACTAGCTCTGCTCTGTGCAGACAAATTTTGTTTTCTTCTTAGAAAAATGGCTGGATAAAATATATATATATAAACTGTGCAAATTTTCTTACTTGCATTTTATAGATGCGTCATGTCTTCACTTAACCGCTGCGGGTAGACTAAGACCATGGTGATCAAATTTTAGTTCGGTTTTTGAATTTTTATGATCTTGAGAATAAGAACAATACATTAACAAGTGGAGAAACAATTACCAACTCGCACTTACTAACTATGTGAATAACTTATCAAATCCAAGATGCGTATACCTGTGTATTGCAAACATGACGGCGAACAACACATTCCGGACTGTTACAGCATATAAAAAAGTTGTTAAGAAAACCTGATAGTTGGCTTAAAACAAATTTTTTATTATACATCCGTAGCCTGCACAAAAATATTGATTAAGCAAGATTGAGTAAAGATCCTTTGGGCTTCACAAACGTTATCATAAGCATCTTAAACCGACTTTCAGGATTTTCGATCAAGCTACAAAGGTATACATGCATGCTGTCTGGGAAACTAATTTTGGCAAAAGAGAAGATGATGTGTTCTTTGAAAGGGGAGAACGAGCGAGATCAACGACCTTTTAGATCAAACTTGGGGAGAAATGGATGCAAATTGTATTTTTTTTTTTTTTTTTGGAAAATTTGGGAGTTTTTAAACCTAATAGCAGGAGACGGATGTTAAACGTATTAAATCCAAACATTAGTCCAGAATACATCTATTTTTAAGATCTCTTGCGCATATATCTACAGGTGGCAAAAATTCGACAAATCAAATCTATCCCATATTGTAGATATAATGCATAAAAGAGTAAAAAAACGAATATCTTACGTAGATTTTGACTATTTTCACTTTTTCTTAGTTTTGATGAATAGACGTTATTTTCGCTCTTCACTTTTGAAATCAGATTGCAACAGTGATTACTGTGGTTACACACAGTGGCTTTAATAACTTGACGCATTATTTCTAATACAATCTATGAAACTAAGGTACGACTATACCCTACACTACTTGCGTAAAAGTTTGTGCGGCTGTATGCAACACGAAGAGAGACTTAAATAGATCCACTTTTTATTTTGTCTGTCCGTGTGTTTTTTTATTTTACGTTGTTTTCGGTTAACATACGCGACTAGGAATTTCAATAAAAATCGATTACCGAACAACACGAAAGCATGGTAGGTTCAGAATTTCAGGCTAAGCTAGGATACATATACTCTGTTTAATCTCCAACTAGTTTTTACTTAATTCATTCTTGCATTCTTAGATTATATCAGAAGGAAAGAAATTAAACCATTATAGTGGGGCAGAGCCTAGCATTAAATACCCTGCTGCCTGTTTCGCTTAATACAGTTCTTTATGTAACGATTTTTCATATTAAGGCCTCATATTGGATATAGTCGAATAAGTGGTCCGATCTGAACTATTTTCAATAGCTCACGTCCTTGGGGTAAAACAACCAAACCAAATTTCATCACAATATCTTAAAAACGATGGCCTGTACGTTGAACACAAGAAGGCAAAGCGGGCAGAGGGACGAACAGACAAACTTACATATAATAAAAGGTGGGTCTGTCTCAAGTTCTTCCGAATATTGCAAACATCCACCCAAATTCCCACAAATGGGATATATAACTGGATTTATCCATTCTTCGTCCATGCATGAAGGGCACCAATCGCATTTCTCAATGCACGCAACTTTTGACATTCATAACTCTGAACTGTGGTGTATGGCAAAAGAACTCTTTTATTAATGCGTACATTAAAGGAACTTTATAGGATTTACTTCGTGGGCGGCTAACGAAATGAACCTAAGAATTATCGGGTAATATCGGTTTGAAGGCAACAAAATTTGCACTCGTATATATAGCATTTTATTGCATTTGGAACTAATTAACACTATCTTCATTGTTACGACTGCAAGGCATGTGTAAATAATATGTTATTAATTTTCTTAGTAAATTAAAACTAAATTGAAAAAAAACTCATTGAACTTAAGATTAAAAAAAAGAAAGAAATGTTTTAAATTAAATCAAGTTAAACTAGAACTATAATCAAATTAATTAAAATCTTCAAGTCGGAGAAAAAAAGAAAAAAAGAATATTCTCAATAAACAATTGAAAAAAGTGAAAAGTTCCGAAAAATTGTTAAAGCAGTAACTTTTTGAAGAGAACGAACGAACACGTTATAATTTTGCAATTAATACATGCATACTGGGCGCGCAACTACAAAATCTTAAAAAAAAAAAAAAAAAAAAAAAAAAAAACAAAACAAAAGTTTACGAAAAACCAGAGTCACAAATTGAGATCACAAAAAAAAAGAAGCAAAAACAAAAAAGTAAATAAATAAATAAAAACAAAAACAACAAAAGAACACTCAATATAATAAGAAAGAAAACGAAATAAAATTCATCAGATATCAGGGCCACTATATAAATGCGTTGTGCTAAGAACGGATAACAAACATTCCTGTTGCAACCAGCAAAGCTTAAGGATTAAACAATACAAAGCTCACACACCCACACACACCTCTGTGAATTCTATCCGCACAGAGTGACTGATTGCCTAGTGATAATATTATATATAAAAAAAATATAAAAAAATTTAAAAAGTGATAATAAAATAAGCAAAAACACAAAACCAAAATTTCAAAAGTGAAAATTTTTGAGAATTTAGTAAAAATCAAGAATTTATTTAAATAAAAATTCTTCAACAAAATGATTTCAATTAGCGGAATATTTATTGTCGTTGTGGTGAGTAAACTAAAAGAGAAATGTTTTGTGTGACAAAAATATGAAAAAATTAATAAATAAATAATAATATACAAAATTTATTGATAACAGATTTCTTGAATCATTCGTTTTGCGAATGTTTATTAAGAAAAACTTGAAATCCGAAACTATGCTCATATCATCGCAAAGATCATAGCTTTCGGAAGACATTTGCTAAGAAACAAGAACGGCCTATGAATTTAGTACAAATAATAGCGGAGAGATTATTTATATAGATTTCATATGGGCATATTGCTGCAAGCATACACATACCGACATATAAATTAATAGATGTATAGACGTCTAGCTATACAGACATGCAGATATACATACAGATTTATAGACCTATAGAGAAACAACAGAGAGGTGTATTTTTCCTTGATCCAAATTTTGGGTTGGGCATGGAAACATGCGCACTCTCTCTTGCCATCCAGATTGGTCATCTTTAAGAAATATGCTTACCGTTTCTAAGGAAGTGGAAATTACACCGTCCCGTGACCTACTAACTGTCATTACGGTGGGTCCATGCAGCGAGACGAAAGAAATGCTTCGACATGTTTTGGACGACTTACTCCGGAGTAAAGCCGGAGGCGACATTCGAACTTTTAAACGCACACAACGACCAATATGAGATGATATAGTGCGGATTAACATTCCATAAGGGCTCATCTGGAACTGATACGACGGCATTTGTACAGATATGTAGATACATATGGACATGTAGATAAACAAATACTTAGATGTATAGATACATGGATGGGCAGATATGAAGTCAGAATTTCATGAATGTTTTGAAAAACATGAAAAACAACTAAACAGGCTGTGGTGGACAACGGCCCATCCTACAGTCGAAAAAATGGACCGATCCGAACCATTAAATAACGTTCGTCTTTGGCTCAAAAAAAAAAAAAACGATACTTTAGCAAATCTAATCAAAATACCTCAAGAAAAGAAAACGGACGGACGGACACACAGCCTTAGATGATTTAAAAAGTGATAGTGAAATAGAGCGGTACAGTGAAAGTTGGGCCTTTCTCAAGTTTCATTCATCGACACGCAAACTTAATACTGCATGCTGGCATCACACAAGCGGTGTAGGGTATAAAAATCATAATTACATATAAACGTTTACATTTTCTTCTTCTTCGCACTGTTGTTGTGAATGTTTGAATGACCGCAAATATTGTTGAACTTTATGGCAACCTAATATTTGAAATTCTTTAATTCATTGCCTGCTAAATACAGGTTTCCGTTCAACAGCCCGCAAATGCGTCTGAATCATTGAAACTGAAGCAATGACAAAAAGTCGCTAAAATGCCAGAAATACAAATTCAGAAAATTAATATTAAACGCAAATTAATGAAAAATTCAATAGATTAGCATAAGTTGTGTTATCAGCAGATGCTTTAAGTTCGGCTTAACTAGAAAGTACATCACACATACATAAGAGATACAAAAACAAAAAAAGAAAAAGATTTTTAAGCGTCAATGCTCAAGTAATAATAATAAAAATAATTTGCTTTAACTATGCGTCTTAACCTTAAAAAGTTCCTATTATTTGAAAATAAATTTTTTGCTTACAAAACACTCCCAGATTAACGGTAGTTAAACAATCGACATTACTTCCATCGGTGGCAAATAATTACCTCTTTACTCTAAGCTTTCATTTATTAAGCGCAAGGCAAATTATAAACTTTATATGTCAAGTTTAGAGTCGACGCTTATTAACTTTCAATTCAAACATTATGCAGTTGGTGATGGTTAAACGTTGTCGCATCTTTTTACCATAAAACTGAAGTTAATCTATTCAAATGATCATTATTTAATAACTTAAGGGTAATAAAATAAATCGCGACTACTTCAGTTTGAATAGATAGCTTAGTTCATGTATTCAAATTTTTACACTTGAAAAAAAAAAAAGTAAAAGACTTCTGCTCTTTATAGTCAAATCCCCTGGTAAGGAGATATTAATTCATTTCATCATTCCGTTTGTAACATACTTGATATAAAAAAATAAAAAATGCAGGAAGGAAAAGCGATTACATCACTGCAGCCCTTCAATCGAATCATATGTACATATATATATATATATATATATACATATATATATATAGAGATCTTACGTTAACCTATAGTTTTATAGGCACAATAGTAGTAAAAAGCAGTAATATTTTCAGTCCAACCTCTCTCTCTCTCACTCTCTCTCTCTCTCTCTCCCCACTTACCTGTTGACTACATCTCGTAAATTGTGTTCTCTATGCCGAAATTTTCCCCAAAAGATTAACTCTTTTGCTTGAAAGTACCAGTAAAGTGAACTTGTCCAAGTACCCGATTCATGTGATGGGTATCGCAAATTCTTCCTATGGCGAATATATATTTTATTATTTATTAATAAAGATTTAAAATCAGCTTTGACCGCGTTTTCGAATACCGAATGTTACCTTGTATTGAAACGAGAAAACTTTTCAACAAAATCTTAATAACGGTATCGTAAATTTCATTATATATGAACGAATAACATACGACATTTGATTGCACGGTAAAGCAAACATTTATCAAACACATAATCGGACATGTACACGATATTTGATTCGATGATAAAGCAAACATCTATTCACATATAATTGGACATGTGTAAACAATGTAGACACATACGCTACCTGAGATAAATTTAATCACTTAAAGAGCTGCACAAACTAAAACTGCAATTATCTAGTGCATCTCTATTTGCATATCTTGTTGTTTGGAAACAACAACAGACGAAGAAATGAACTCATTTAGCTAAGTTCTAAACTTAATGTAGGAATATTATTAGGAAAACACTTATGCTCGAAAAAAACGGTCTCCTGAGTTTGTCATCTTTAAAAACAGAAAATGTGCTCGTCTACTTGCTCTTTACCATTGCTCAAAAAAGCCAACTAAGTCTAGCGAAATTGAAAGTAAAAAGTCTGGGATTCAGATTTTGTTCCCTACAAGAGTTTAAACTTCGCAGATAATCTTAGATACGAGAGCATATGCGGCCAGATCGATCCCCTTTTCCTTCTAGTTTCATGCTTCTTATCGGAATACAATATACAAACGAGACAATGCCTAATGAGCAACATAACTAAAACACAATTCGGAATAAACGGTAATCAGTCCAAACCAGTTTATATATTATGAAGAAACATAAAAATGAGCAAAGCATCTGACGTTTATTCTTAATTTTTAGACAAAGGTCTGTACTTGCCACTTAGCCAGTAGGCCGAGGCAAATAGAGACAAGTATGTAAGCCATGCGCAGTCTATAACCCGACCCAGACTCGTTAAGTTTCTGAGGCGTATTTTTATCGATAGTTTATTATAGATTTGATAAACCAACCTATGGAGAGCATAACATTCTTGCAAAGTCATTCATCCTTATCAAGCTGGAAAAATTTAAATTAAAATTCTTTAAATTTCCATATTAGACCAAAAATTATTGCAAAACATTTTTTCAGGCTTTGACGGCAACATTATGTGCAGGAAACCCTGCGCCTCCACCTCATCCGACTCGTGCTCCGCAATACGGCAAGGATGCACACCACGATCATGCACAGGGCAAATATCAACCAACCAATGACGGCAAATATTATCCTGGCAATGAAGGTAAATTTTTCATAAAATAACCAATGAACAGGAATTCAAGAATTTTTACGAAATCGATAATAACTTGAATAAAATATGAAGCTTGTAGTTTGCTTTTAGTTAATAATTAATAAAAACGATGAAGAAGAAGATGTTTCAAGAATAGTGCTAATAATTAAAATTAATTAATACTAGTAGTGCATGCAAGTAGAATTGAAAATTCATAATGAAGTAGTTTGACAAACGCTTATTACATATTATTAGTCTCCTGTAGAACCGAAGTAAATTCCAATTATTCAACTGCTTATGTATATATTACAAATATCAAAATATATATGTTTTCAAAAGATCTTAAATTTTCAGAAAAAAAAAAAGTAAAAACAGTGTAGTGGGATACGGCCCGCAGTTGCATACCCTAAAACTGTTCGCTTAATATCGTCTCAAATAAAGGCGTTACAAGGGTAAGAGTCGAAGAAGTGGGTCGATCCGAACCATTTGCAATAACGCTCGTCCTTTGTCGGTTAAATATTAAATGAAAAATGTGGGTTGAACACACGAAAACAGGACCGACGGACAGACAAACTTCAGAAAGTGACTACTAATCGATCGAGCAGAACAGAAGGTGCGGTGTCGCATACATCCGCGCAAACTTGCGCCACAAGTGGTGTAGGGTATAACAAAGTACACAAACTTAATGGAGTTTTCCGCACGCAAACATATTTTAGAACGTGTTCTACTTCCAACTTTTTAAATATACTATCAATATTCTTAACATTTGAAATACTTTTTATAAATCTTTCTATTTCGTCTTCTCGCGTTCAGACTGTCTTTCTCTCCTCCTATATACCTCGAATATTCAAATATATTATTATTTGAATATTTTTAAAATTTAAATAATTATTTTTCCATTTTATTTATATAATATTTTTTTATTGGATTTTATAGCCTATCACGGTGCAAATGGCGAATACCATGGTAAACAATTTGACTTTTTTTCTCCTCAATTTCGAAACTATTTATATGCATTTACCAAATATTGATATCATTACATCGGAAGGCTAAAGCTTCAGCTCGGTTGCACAAAGCTTGAAATTAGATGCATTTATTTTTATTTATATTTATTGGCCTGACAACAACAACAAAATGTATTGAAAATCGTGGACCTAGATTAATGGCAGCAAAGAAATAGTTTTTAAAACGTAAACTGAAGTCAAAACAAGAAACAAATCAGTTTTCCCAGAAAAATGTAGTATTGAGTCTTATTAGAAGAGAATAAGAGTCAGAAAACAATTCATATTAATCGTTCCTAATTTGTGCCAAAGCTTGTATGAGTTCTAAAAGGCCTTCCGACACGTCTCTAATATGAGAGAAGAAGAAAATGAGATTTACAGCTAACAAGATCCTTACGTTCTTCTCAAAGTCTTTTTGAATTCATATCTGACAAAATTCGTTGCAGTGCGTTCGTAAGGCAATTCTTAAGTGCTAGAAGCTGGAATCCAATAAGTTCAGATAAGAATGTTTTTTACCGTGAATACGTTAAAATACTCATAAATGGCTAACACATTCCTACAATGCAGCTTAACCCGCTAATCTTAAGCTTAAGCAGCAGAGAGCAGCTTTGTAAGCTTACCTCCTTCTTCTGAAAATTAATCTTCAAATCTGTTAGATTTGAAAACTTGGCTCAAAATATTTCCAAACGCACAGGCTCGAACTATGACCTCATTCATCTTACCTTTAGCTATTGAAACCTTTAGCGGTTATGAAGAACTTGTAGAAAAGTTTAAAGTTAAACTCTCATGAGCGAACTTTCGAAAGCAGTGGCTATGAAGTCCATCGATATTTATTCAAGAAGTTCATTCTAATTTTTTCCCGATGTTCCTGGCAAACGGCGAAGGACGTCAGAAGATTTACCCATTGCATGGTATTATAACAGACGGCATTCAAGGGACTCACTAAATGTACTCGCACCGATCGCGAAATTAGCTCTTGTTACTTTACAGTATTTACTCTCATTACGAAATCAAAATATAAATGTGATATAAATATGATGAAACTTTACAATGAAGAAACATCGACCGTTAAGTCATTACGCCATTTTGTTTACTACAGTCTCATGTTTAGAATTGTAGTAATAGTTCGGAATTTTAGCCGTACGATATCTTGAGAAAGTCGAATTTGATTGAATTCAATCGTTTTGTTTTTCTTAGGGAAGCTTCATCAGCTTTTATCATAAAATACCAATAACTAGATCTTAAATGTCATATAATGACCTGCTTGTCGTTAAAGTAATTGGACGGGGTGGGATCGGAGAGGTACTCTATAGCAGTCCAGATCCAAGTCAGCAAATTTGTATGCCAAGAATGAAATCATCTTGGTCCAACGATGTGACCTCATCCGCTCTTAATTTCCTGCATTAATTTAGTAACAAATAAATTCTATACCACAAGCTTTCCAAAGGTTCGTTCAAGGATCCCATATCGAAATACAAAATTCCCTTAAAACATCGACTCGAATACATAAACAGACTCAAATGGATAGAAGATTCAAATCGAACCGGTTGTCGAATGCTTTAATAAATTTCTCATGTTGTACATAAGACGCATAAACATAACATTATCTTAATCACAAATGATGCGAAGTGAAAAAATGAACTTAGAACTTGGTGTTGGAAGCTAAAAAGCAAAGAAAAAGATGTAAAGAATGTGTCGGGCTCAAGCTATCTCCCTTCAACTAATAAAGTCTTACATTCACATCTATGCTCTTTTTCTTTGCTCTTTGTTCATAACATAACTTAATCTCTTGTTATTGAATAGCTTATGAAACATAAACAAATGTTTAAACAAAAATTATTTATATTATTTTATTAATAAATTCCCTAAAAGGTCGTTATGAACATAATGTTCAGAGTTATGTTCACGTGCACGATAACCGTGAATTAGGCAAATACGTTCACATACACAATCCTTATGGCGGTGGCTATGGGCCTTACGCTGGCTCCAACATACCTTACCAGCATGTTGATGTTCCTTATGAGTAAGTATTTGTAAAGCTAAGCGAAATAATGACCTTCACAATAATAATTTGATCTTTATTTCGTTTCTTTCCATTCCAGTCACAATAAATATACGGTAAAGAAAACGAATTTTTTCTTCTTCATTTCTAATTCATATAACTATCTATCGATTGTTCGCAATACTTACAGACAACAACCACTAAAAAACCCACTACCACTACAACCACTACCACTACAACTACTACTACAACTCCACGCAGTATACTTTTCAATTACGATGACGAGGGACGCCATAAGATCTTACATCAGGAGAATGTCCGTAAAACGAACAAATACGATCATGCGTAAGTTTTTATTGTTTAAATAAAAAAATATTTTTTTAATTGTTTTTTTTTTTTTCTTTTTGCTCACTGTAGCTTTTTAACAGAAAACGGTATTTATGGCGAGGAGAAGGCTAAACTGCATCAGGGCGGTGGCACCCATGCCGAAGGCTATTACGAATACACTGGCGACGATGGTAAATTGTATCGCGTCAATTATAAGAGCGATAATGGCGGTTTTATGCCTGAGGGTGAACACATTCCTACTCCACCACCGATCCCGGAAGCTATTGCTCGCGCTTTAAAATATGTCGATGATAAACGTAAAGAAAATGGCGAAAAACCTTTATTCGATGAACGCGGCTTCCGTATCGATCATATGAGCAAAGACGTTATGGCGAAAATTAAATCCTTACATGTCGAGGACATGCCACGCGATATTGGTGCACAGATACGCGAATTGCAAGAACATATGGATTATTATCTCGGCGTTGGGCACTATTAATATATGAAGACAGAGGAACAGAAAATCGCATGATATTCATAAGCATCTGTTTCATTGCAATAAAGCACATGTTCGTTAAATATTCAGGGAATTATTTTAGGAATTTTTTTTTAAATTTTTTGTTTTGTTTCATCATCACATTTTGAAATGATTATTTTGTACAAACAAAATAAGTATTTTTAAAAATGTATGCAAAATGTTGCAATTTTTGTCTTTTTTAGATTAATTTTAATTATTTTTATTTTTATTTTTTTTTTTATAATTTTTTCTTTTAATTTTCTCTTAATTTTAATGTTATCCTATTCTAGTTTGTGATTTATTTTTATTAATTATTTATGTGTTTATTTGAAATTGTTATAGATTTTCATATTAATTGTTTATGTTTAAGAAAAAAAAAAAAAAACAAAAACAGAGAATAAGAAAGAGAAAGAGAAGTAACAATAATAATAATAATGGAAAATTCTTAAAAAAAAAACATTCACAATATTTTACTGATTCACTGATAAGACCTTAGCTACGAAACAAATGAAAAAAGGAATTGTAGTCCTTAGCCCTAAGGTAGGATTAACCAAATAACAGAATTTCTTTGTCCACCTAATAAAAAAATAGATAGAATAGATGTAAAAGAAATATGCACGGTACAGCGTATATTAAATTCTTGCCGACGTATAGCACGCTTAGAAGGACTTGAGACAGACCCATTTTTTATTAAACCTTATATTATGCACTAAGTGTATCCGTCTATCTGTCCGTCTTGTTTTCTTGTAATCGACCTAAACTTGGCAGTCTTCAAAATATTTTGATAAAATTTGATACACTTAAGCGCTTTGGCCCAAGGACGAACGCTATTGAAAACGGCTCGTTTCGGACCACTTTACCGACCACTTACCACATATAACGCCGTATATAAAAAATGCAATTTTCAAAATTTTTAGACATAGCTCGCTGTCTATTACACAGCAATTGTTTGCACCTCTTCCCATTTAGCTGTTCCTACGAAAACTGCAAGATAAAAAGTTAATTTAATTTAATATTTCACGCTGAAAATTGATTCATATTGATTTATATAATTTGAAAATAATGAATCGGCAAAGCAATCAACCTGATCGAATTTGGACCACGTAGGTCTATGTTTTATCGAAGTGAAGATAACCCAACCAGGCAGCCCAAATTCTTTAGGGCTTATGCCTCTGTTAAAAATGTGTATTGGCTAAGTTCTTAGTTTGCCGCGACCTAAAAAAAAATAAAACAAATACTATACCTATTAAAATAAGTAACATTGTGAAGTAAGCACATATAAAACAAAGTAAGCCCGTAACTGTGATCACAAAATCAGAAAAATCAAAAAGTTTTTGATACTAATGCCCTTATGCACAGGTTGCAGTACAAACACTGAAAGACTGCAATGGTTTATCTTGAAAAATGCTGAAACCAACCTATCAGCAAAGCTTATCTTCATTTCTAAATCATTTATTTATCGCCGCCAAAATCGTCAAAAACATGCCCTCCCCCAATATATAAAACACAAAGTTAATTATAAAAAATTTCAACGAATTTATTGTTGCGGCATTTTAAAAGACGTTAAAGTTTATCGGGAAAACCTGATTTCATTACCACGTCTTTATTTATTATCATCAAAATCGCCCTAAGTATAACATTCCTCTATGTATATATGAAAAGCTAAACTAATTATAAAAAATTTTACCGAATGCAAGCATATGTAAAATGTAATTGTCGACTAAAGGGTCCTCTTTTAATTTTTTATACCATTAATTAAGTAGGATTTCTCTATTTTATATTTATTTAGTTTTCCTCATAACTTTGTTAGTCCTTCAAAATGATTCATTTATGAAAACATTTTAGTAAAGATGGTTCGTTCATTAATTACCTTAGTGAAGACGAGTGAAGATAGCCCAGAAAAGCAAAAATGTGGGCCAACTTCATCCCAGTTTTTATTTGATACCACCGCGTGTACGGGCCCTGAAGAATTGTAAACTCTTATACGCCAAAAAGGCCTATCTGTCGATGTTTTACGATGAAAAATTGTTTCTAATTATTTGACATAAGAATTAAGTGAACTAAATTTGAACCACATTGGTCTATTTCTTGAACACCATTCCATTTAAGATTTCTCTTAAAAAACTTGGTGCATAGAAGCGATTTAACAAACAAATTAACATTTAGGGAATTTCGATGACATAGGTCTACTCCTTAGACACTAACATATATAGGGGGGATGACCGGAGGGGGGGGGGGGGGGGGGGAAAAAAAACCCACCCCCTGTTTGGAGAAAAAGACCATTTTCTAGGTTTTCACAGCGGAACTTGAAAAACAAAAAAACAACTGTGAAAATTAAATTAAATTTACTAAATTTGGGTCGCGTCCTTTTTATTGCCAGCACGAGTGAATAACCATGAACTAGGCAAAATGCGGTACGTCCTCTAATGGCTTCCATTGTCCGACTGTATGCATTTTACTTGCATTTTACGCGGCCTCATTCAGATCAAGTTTTCAGTTTATGCCATGAGTTTTTTCTCTTCGAGCCGGTTAAATGTTTCCTTTTACATTAAACTTTTTATGAAATGATGACAGTAAGTGTGTGGTGACGTCATGAACGAAATACGTGCATTCTCTTGAAACAAATCTTCAGATTCACGTAAAGAAAATCAAAAATTAGTTTTTTTTTTTTAATTTTTGCTATGTTTTTGCCATTCGCAGTCACGTCTTTGGTGTGGTTCGCGTGTAAGATGTTCTTCAAAGTGAAAGCATTTTATTATTAAATTTTTCAATTATCTGGTTTTCTCACTATTTCTTTCACACGACAACTTTGTAATAAATAACCAAAGTCGTTGTAGATTATTATAACGATAGAAATGAGATTTTATTAATTTTTAATAAACAAGACTTTATGACTAACTGCGCATAGCATGGTTAACCAACTATTTATCAATCATATCAAATATCCACAAAACTATTGTAATAAAAAGATCTTCTAATATCGGGTTCGCTTTATTAATTTGCAACTTTCTTGCATTCTTATGCTACCCACACAGTTTTTATGATATAAAATTTCGATACGTTTTCTGTTTCTTTTCCTGTTTCTGCCCGATATTCACACGGAATCCAATAAGACTCTTTATCTCATTAAAAGTCCTTATAAATATCCGACAGAACAACAAAAAGCACAAGGCCAAAGCATGAAAGATTGTCACGAAAACATGAAGAGGGAGGTTTTTTTTGCATTTTATCCTGCTGGTGGCAGAGAGCGGAACCGCTGCGAAGATCTTATGGCCGTAAAAAGAGTCGGCCTAAACCATACGTTGTCATCCATCGGATGTCAGGCTTCAGTTTTCATCGAAATGGTCGTAAGATCTTAACTTTCCTTCAATAGTTAATGATAAAGATGTACGTGTTGCGTTTAGACTTAAAGAGATACGACGCATTATAAGCCATAAGAAAATATGGGGACCGATTTTCTCAACAAGACTTTTTACGACACAGTCACCACACAGTTCAAGAAAATCCGTCAATCAATATTCACACCTGTGTAGGACATGTTTCAAATGCACCGTTTCTTCTCATAACTATCCTTGCTAGATATAAAAAATGTGTAAAGATTCTAATAGAGTGATATCATCGAAAGGAAGTTCTCTTCTACATATTACTGAATAGATCGAAACAATCATTCAATCGCTACAATATTCGCTGAGTTCCCTTCATATATTACTATTTTTTTGAACATGACCAAATATCTGACAGAATTGACATCGCAACATCTACATATACAAAGAGGCAGGATAAAGAAAGAAATAGCCCAGCATAACAAAGCCAGATTACATGGGCTAAGGAGAAAATGTTTTCATCGCTACACTACGTAATCGGTATTCATTGCTACCTCGTATCGCGAATTATATCGAAAGGTGCAGAAGAATCTGTTTTATCAGCACTCCGATATTCTTTTGTAAGTTAGCTCGAGAAAGGAATTTCCGATACAACCGTGGTCTGAAACATGCTAATATGATGATGTTATGAACCAAGTCTTGAAAAAAAACAAAAAAAAAAAGGTGAAAATATATATATATATATAAATATATATATAACTACTTAAATTAACAATTTTTTTTTTCTTTAATCCTATTAAAAATATTTTACGATTCTGTTCACATTGAAACTACATTGTATTGAATAGGAACATAGGAACATATTAAGCGTTCGCTTGCTTTCTCTGTTAATCTTGCGCAATTTACTACAAGTTGAGCAATTGAGGAGCATTTCACATGCATACGTATATGTGTATGGCAGCCAAACTTGCTTTTTTAACAATTTTCACCGAAATATTATTTTACACGAATGTAAAGCAAATAGAGAAAGGAAAAAAAGAACGGTAGGAAACAGATAAATAGTCTCTAAGAGAAATGAATAAAGAATAATAATTCTAATAACAACAATAACAACATTTAAAAAACTCTTTAGTTGAACTTTTTGCTTACTTGTAACACTTACCGTACAATTGCTTGATGTCGAAAGGAGACGGATGATGCAATTGCAAAGACAATAATCCAAAAGATGATGATGATGGAGTCCACTTGGTTATATTTTAAAAAATTCACCTTTTATTCGAAAATTGTTCGCACACAACGCATTTAAATTCCAATTCCAAAATGATTTGTCAAACTTTATTTTTTACGTTTTATAAATTCAAAGGCAAATTGATGAATGAAAATACGCATATACAGGAGGAGGTAGAAAAACTCATTTGTAAAAATCTCAGTAGGCCGGCATACATTTTATATATATATATATGTGCATATATATAGACAGGTAAAAAAATGATGTTCGGTTGCGACCGAACCTTCAATACCTTCTACACTCATCACCAAAGAACTAAAATTGTAGGCGATATCTTCATTTTTACGAACTGGAACATATTTACAACAGACATTACAACGGACATTACGCAGACGGACAGACGGAAAGCCTTAAACCGATAGCATAGAATTTGATGCTAATCCGGAATAAATATACTTTGTGGGATATCTCTGATCCTTCGTTCTGGGCATAGCAAACGTTTC